TGGGAGTTGAAGTCCATAAGTCTTAAAAGTTGCCAAGTTTGGAGACCACAACTAAATTCCATTGCAACCAGAATACAGAATTACAGAGTGGGAAGGGACTTTGGAGGTCTTCTAGTCCAACCCACTGCTCAAGCAGGAGACTTTATACCAATCCAGAAAAATGGCCATCCAGTCTCTTCTTAAAAACTTCCAGTGATGGAGGACCCAACGGTTTCTGGTGGTAAGCAGTTCCACTGGTTAATTGTCCTCACTGTTAGGAAGTTTCTCCTTAATTCCAGGTTGCTTCTCTCCTGGATTAGTTTCCATCCATCGCTTCTTCTCTTGCCTTCAGGTGCTTTGGAGAATAATTTGATCCCCTCTTCTTTGTGGCACCCCTTCAAATACTGAAACACTGCTATCATGTCACCCACAATCCTACTTTTCTCTAGACTAGCCAAACTCAGTTCCTGCAACTGTTCTTTGTATGTTTTAGTCTCCGTTAGGACAAGATTTTTATGATAAGGGTGTTGTGCTTCGACAGAAATTACTGCTCAGTTTTTTAAAAAAAACAAGCTTTAAAAGAATTACTTCTTACAACGTGGGCTGTTTCTTTTTTCTTTTTTTAAAAAAAGTGTCTAGGATTCTGACACACCCTGGTGTGACCACGAATTAGGATTCTGCCTCTGCAGATAACAGCAGCCTCTACTCTCACTGGTGGCTGTTGAATGCAGCAGCCCTGGATGATACCAAGGCTTTGGGAGGAGGGTTAGGGTCCCAGGGCTGACCAGGGGATTCCTTTCTCCAGTGTGAATGGAAGGAAGGAATGGCTGCAGAGAGAGAAACTCTGTTTATAGTGCTATATTGTATGGTATGTGCAATGCGCAGTCACACTCTACACCTGAAACATATAATAGTAATAGTATTATAATAATAGTATAGTAGTAAGAATAATAATTGTAATATATACATTACTATTTTTGTGTATAAGATAGATAGATAAAAAGATATAGATAGATGATGCATCGATGGATAGATAGATGATAGATCTATCTATCTATCTATCTATCTATCTATCTATCTATCTATCTATCTATCCATCCACCCACCCACCCACCCACCCACCCA